CTTCTTCTTTTTCTCTCGGCTTTTGATGCCCCAACTTCAGCAACTTCGTCAAGTTCGAGCAGCGAGAGCAAGCAAAGCCTGAGCAGCGGCGGCGGACGTCCACTTTCAATGGAAGTGGGCTATACGTCTCGGGTGAGAACTTCTGACGTCTCGAGCAGGTGCGAAGAAAAACTGTGAGAGAAGAATTGAAGAAGATGAAAAGGATCCCGAGGAGGACTGAGCACAGGGCCCCGGGGAGGAGAAGCCCTGCCGCGACGTCAGCCGATTCAATTTTCAGCTTTTCATCAAGATATGCAAATACCGCTCTCGAAACAATTATCCCGCGCGGCTCGGTCCCTCGAACCGTTCAATCAGCGGTCCAGTATCGGAACACGGGGCCTGGGCACCGGCTCCTGGTACTCGTTCGGAGCATCAGAAAGTCTAGCTCATCTCCCCGGACGAAGAAAGCGCGATACCGAAATCTGGGAAAATAACACACTTCGGTTCCCGGTCCGTTTTGCGCATTTGAGGTGGGATAATTGTTTTGCGGTTTGACACCGGGTGGCGGAATCATGGAGGCGTCCTCGATTCCGCGATGCGGCAGCAACGGCCACGCGACCTTGCTCTCGCGTTGTTCGACCGAAAGGAGACTCGATCGGCGACAGGCTAGGACAAGCATACGCGTAGAGGTCTCACCTCGTTATTCCGCGGAAGATAAGCCCATGAGTCGCGGGAAATCTGTCGCGTGTGACCAAGGGTGATTTTTCCCAACCAGGTCGATGGCTCAGATAGCTCGCTGTTGTGTGGGCGGGTTGTTTTCTTCTGAATTTTCTGGATGCAGGACCGTCGACTAGGGTGTAGTAGAAGAGAATGCGTGGACTCCTTGCTGTGGGAGCACCACTATAGAAGATGAGCAATCTCTCGGAGCGATGGGAAATGATGCGAATCGAAGCTGGAATTTGAAATTCATTCACGTTAGGAAGTATCGTTCCGAAGTGAGTAGTTCCTTCAATGAGGCGTCTATTGTATTCTGGGCTTGCTCCATCTTTCCTCGAGCTGTTGCTGAAACTTTTAATGGACCCTCGACACGCCTCTCGATACTTTCAGCGCTTTGTTCTACTACAATTTCTCGAGACGTTTCACTCTTGAAGTTGTATGGGTCAGACTTTGAGATAGCGATAGAATCTCTCCACTTGAATTCTGGTATAAAGCTCGCTGAGTCTTTGTTTCTAACGAAGATATCCGCCGGGGTCGCTCTCCGATCCATTTCCTCTTTTGTTCACATTCAGGGATGAAGAAAGCATGAGAACAACACCGAAAGCGATGCTGGCGCGAGATTATATATCGTGGCCGCCCCCGTATCCCTTGAGAGGGGAAAAACTTCCGCTTCCATTAGAGAAAAAAAGAGCAAAAACCGCTCCGATAGCGCCGTCGTCGCGTGGTTGGACTCGAATTCCCTGGTGCTGCTCCAACGTCCAGCACTGAGCTCCCCGGGCTGCCCGATTCCATGGGACAAGTGAAAAGAGAAAGAACGTTTTTCAGAAACTGTCGACCCAATACAGCCTGCAGAAAACGATCGTCTTGAGAATCGCGGAGAGCACGGGCAGGGAAACGAGCGTTCGGACGAAAACGACGAGCTGTGAGCCTCGAAAGTACGCCCCCCAGAGTCCCATTCTTCGCCTGATCGCTCGTTCGTACATTGTGCCTGAAATTCGCATCATTGTGATTTAAATTCACATTGCGCCGATCTGTAGATACTCGCATCCAGGCGTCTGATGAATGCGGCCGCCGAGCAGCGGCAGGCGAATTCTTCATTACGACAATCGTTAGTGTAGCCGGTCTCACGCTCTCGTCATACCAGTTATCGTGCCCTCACCCCACCCCCGAAGGAACAGGTCGGCCAATTCTTCACACCCCCAAACCTCCTCCACCCTCGTATACTTGCATCGATCGAATTTGTCGGTTCGGTTCTCTCAATTCACCGCAAGGACCCTCTTCTTGCTTTCAGATTAATGAATGGAGGAACGCCTAGGAGAGAGAGAGCTGATGGGCGTCGCTGAAATCCGACGCGGAGGATTGCGAGACACGACGAGGACGGATAAATCTCGAGAGCAAACTTTTGAGACAGTCCCATGTCAGTCGAGGAGCGTTCCGTGAGCTCTCCCGACAAGGAATCGAAGACGTCGATTCCGCCCAAACTTCAGAGCCGCTCCGTTTCGAGGAGCCGGCGTGGCGAGGAAAGCTCAATCCGGATTCTCGAGTGCAGTCCGTTGACAATGGATCACGAATTGTCGAAATGAAAGATTCGATACAGATATAAGGGGCCAGATACGCGTACGAAATGGTCCCGAATTTCCACCTGGACGACTCCAGCTGCCGCCAACGCCGCCACCGCCATTAATACGAAAAGGTGTGGACGCAAAGATACATACAACGAGATCCCCGAGATAAGCACATCACGAGCCGTCCGGCCGCAGCCACCCAGTCGGTGGCGTGCGATTGAGGGAACGAGTGAGTGAGTGTATAATTTGATTTGTGTACAAACTGAAGTACGGGCCATATCTCCTCGTATCTAGAGATGTGTATCAAGCAGCGTTCGTGATGTGGGAACCGTTAAGTGCTTCGCTCGGCTCGCTCGACACGTGGCCAGTCATCAGTGAAAGTTGGGCCGGCTTGACTCGCTTCTCCGTTTTTCGGATGGCCATTCGATGGAAAGCCGCATGAGAGAGGGCGAATCACGTGCGAGAATCTCTGCTGGGATCGCGACAAAGAGGAATACTTGATGAATGCCGAACCATCGAATCGGAACGTAGTCATAGGTGCGGACCTCGACCCGGAACGTGCAATCCATGGACCTGGGAATCCGAGGGAGCTCCTCCGGATCGGGGATCATCGTGCAGCAGTTTGGAGTCGAAATACGGCCGGACGGACCGGATTGAGATTATCGTGTTCGGCGTTCTGTCGCGTCAGTAGAGCATGTGATTGACCGCGACGAACGAATTCAGGAACCTCCACGAGGCTCAGCGAGGTGTGAATTCACGATACACGGTACAAAGGTCTTCTTTCGCCGATGTAGAATTACGGAGTTGCAGATGCGGAGTCGGATTCCATCATCGAAGGCGATAATTTTCGACAGAGTGTTTGCGTTTCGCGGCATCTGCCGCCGAAAATTACAGCCAGCTCGCCCTCGAATCACATCTGGCCGAAATCATAGCGAGGAAAAAGAAAGAGACTACGAGAGCGACTACTATAACTACTACAGCAACTACTACTACTACCACCACCACCGCCACTACGGCCCGGCACGCAGACATTTTGAAGCGCAAACACGAACGCTTCATTAGGTGTTCTCTCGGTGCCCGGCCGCTCACCTGACCGGGGACTCGACCGATGGCTACTGGGTGCTCAAGTCCACCTCGCAGTCTTTTCTCCGAATTCGAACGTAGTCATCGTCGGAGCACATACATTATCGGAGGCACAACGGTCGCGGCTTCAGGAATCCGAGCGACAAGATGAACATTTCACCTACATACAGGCAGGAGGCTGTCTGCGGCCGGTAGACGGTAGCCGACAAGCCTGGTAGCTGACTCATTGTGTAGTTAGTCGCCGGTCTTGTGATCGGGAACGTTTTTCGGTTCCGCGGCAGACGACATCCGCCTGAGCTGTTACCCAGATGTTCGGATGACGTGAATATAAAAAAATGACTAAGGAATGAAAGAAAGTTCGGAAACGCGTCGCGAGACGGTGACCCGAGCCGACTTCTCAAAACTCTTTGAGGCTGAAAGCTGATATTTGCAGGAATAGATCGTCGGATACGCCGTCCGAGTTTGTAGGACGACTATTTTACGTCGTTGGACGGAAACGGATCCGATTCCATGCATGCGAGACGGAGGGAGTGAAAAATAGCCGATCCCGACCGCTCAATGAACGAATGCACCAGAAGTAGGCCCGAAGGACACTTCGTTGATGAAATGCTGGAACGTACGTAAGAGGGAGGGAATTTTTCCTGAGTAATGATGTAAAAGAGAAACTGAATTCATTTCTCGCGCGCGAATGCGGCAAGCTCCTACTTTCAATGTATTAACCAGAGCGAGCTTCCTGTGCTCGCCTGTGTGTTTTCAAACTAGTCGCCGTACGGGGTATAGCACCTCATTCAAAATTTATAGCTCGGGCCATTTCCTCGACTTGTGTAAATGAGGAACAGACGGCGACACCTCTTCGGCTTGTTGTTGTTCCGGTCCGAGACGTTCAAGAGTCCCACCACGAGTCGTACTCTATTGCATACGAGCGGGCGCGTGCCCAGGAATGTTTTTCGGGGGGGGGGGCAGGGGCATTGTCTTGGTAAGGGCTAGGGGCTAACTACCGATGATGATGAGCCTCAACATAGAACTCTATGGGCCAGAAAGAGATCTTGAGGGAGGCCATCGCCCCCCAAGCTCCCTCCTGGACACGCCACTGCATACGAGCCCTAGAGCACGTGATGAAGAAGAAATATAACCACAATGCAGTTGTGTTGCCGCCCGCCTGAGGGCCCGCCGTGAAAATCAAGTTATGGTTATGGTTATGGTTATAATTGATCCTCGCTGATGTCTACACGTTTTCATTGTCTACATGAGCGACCCTGGTCCAGGGGCGAGTTTACTCAGCGGATCCTTCGGGTCTCATCCTCCCACTTCTCGAGCATTTTCCTCGTCTCCTCCCATTCCCCCTCATCATCCACTCCAATGAAGCCCAGTCTCCTGGCGAGCGCTTCCGTCTCGTGATGATGCGAGTCACATTTCATTATTATGTGTGGTATGGTTTCTATTTGACCGCCGCATCTTGCACAATGCGGGTCAATGGATTCGTATTTCGCGCGGTGGGCTCGCGTAGGTAGCATTCCCGCACGGGCCAATGCCAACAGTGCGCTGCCCCGGCTGTTTGTGTACAAGCCGCGAGCAGTCATGCCTCTCTCCTTCCATTCTCTGTAGAGCTCCAGGCTTGGTTTGGATCTCATTGATTCCGACCAAGTCTCGCTCAACCTCTCTTTGATACGTTTCTTCACCGTATCATTGAAAAGCGTGATCCTCGCGCTCTGATCTTCCCGATATTCAAGGGGGATGTCCGAGCAGCCGAATCTTGTTTTCAGGAAATTGAGTCTCTTTATGGCATCCGAGTATATGTTGACTGCAGCCATCATCGATAGAACCATTCTGGGCCATCGTGATGAGTCCATTGCACTGATCCTTGCAAAATATCGGATTTTACTTTGTGCTTCTCGGGCCTCGAATGTGGACCACCCAAGTTCGCCGAGCACGAAGTCTGACGCTACTTTGTGTCCAGTTATTCCCTCCTCCAAGCTCATATCGAATGGAAATATCTCCTCGATAGAATTGACCCCGGGTGAGGAACCAATATATGTACCTGAATATCGGCTCTTGCTGAAGGACAGATGAAATTCTGTGCCTTACGGAAGGGGTCGCGCTCGGAGCTCCCTCCGGTTCGTCGGTCGGTCCATGGGTTTATGGCGGATCGTCCAAATCGTCATAAGTTCATAAATGCAGCGACGGTGGAAATGAGAGCTAGGCGTGCCTTTCCTCCACTCCCGAAGTCTTATACCGGATATTATGCAGTCGGTTCCTCGTGAAGGCTGCGGTCTGTTGAATGGAAAAGAAGGCTCGGAGGTCGTAAACTAGACGTTCAATCCTATCCGCATCCAGTGCCGAATGCGTGATTTACGAGGTGTGCAGTTACGCTTGTTCGCTCGTTCGAAACGCTGCGACCCACCACGTACGACACACCGGCGCCGTCGCCCACAACAAAGCGTGTTCCCTGCTTTTTTCCGGCGGACCTTAACGTCCGCCTCCATTGGGTTTTGGCGTCCGGCCAAAGGCTCACGATCGACGTCGCCAACGCTCGAGCTGAGGGGAAACTGGTCCGTAAGTGAGCGATGTACACGTTCGTATTGCTTTTTCCCCTTGGATGAATTCCAAATCTCCAACGGAAGGCATACGATTCGGGGAGACAAGAGGGAAATATTTCGGCGAAGAAAAGCGTCACATGATACTTTCGCTGCGTGTCTGCGATCGGGTTCGGGTGAACGTTCAATCCGAGGACCAAGCTTCTGCATCTGATCGACTCCCACTTAGAGCGCACATACTCCCTCTCGAAAGAGGGTACGTGTATTCAATGGACGCAGGCTCGCTCTGTTCCAAGCCAATGAATGCATCGATGGATCTGTCTCGTTGATCCTGTGCGGTGACCATGGAACGACCGGGACGTCTCCATAGTGGGATCATCCTGCGATCCATTCTCCGGCGAATGCCTCCATACCGCAAATCGAATACTCGGGATGCTCCCCCTCCCAGCTCCTAATGAGTGGTGGATAAGATTATCGTGAATGCAGGACTTGGAATTCCGCGGATTTTGTCATGGACACCAATGTCTGTCTCCTTCGGCTCCCGTCGATTGCGAGACTTGCGATGCTTTTCCGGGAAGCTGCGAAATATCGCCTTGGAAATGAGCGCGCGGAAATAACCTCTCATGTGAACGATGATTATATCCGAGGTAAAGTCGCTTAAAATGTCTGCCAGCTGCGGGGTCGCGCAGGAATTCGAAATCCGCCGGAGGAAAATTATTTAGTATAGCCAGTATTAAAATCTCCTCCGTGTCGGGGACTCGGCAGTCGAATGAAAAGTCACCCGAGAGGGCGACATTTCCGGTTCCTTTAAAATCCGATTCGGCGCTGCCTCCGAACTTTCCGCCTTTCGTTCGGGTTCGAGGCAACTCGACACCGAACGAAAACCGCTTGTCTGGGGCCGTTTTCGAGGTCGTAAAGAAGAAGAAAACCACCGAAGCCTCCTTTCCGCCTTTTTTCTGCAGCTTTCGCCCACCGTCAAGGAAGACATAGGAGCAGCCCGCCTGTTGACCAAAACGAGGCTAGAGACTTGAAGACTTGTTGTTCCTTGTCGACCATAAAGCCCGCAAACACCTGATCGTTGCCGCTGACTTTGCCCACGGCCGACGTCTCTGCGGTTTTCGGCTCCTGGTGGAGACGGCTCTGGTGGCGGGTTACCCTTGTCAAACAGAGGGGATAACGCGTATATTGCGTGACTGGCGCCGCCGCCGTCCGTCTGTCCGCTCGTTCGCCCCTGCCACCGTCCGCTTCCATCGCGCGCGGCTTCGGAGAAATTTGAAGAGACTCTCCGAGTCCACTCGGATCTCGACTGTTTTTGCAAAAGCTACGATGTGCTCCGAGCCTTTATTTGTTTTCAACTTTGTCCGGAGGGAGTATTGCGTGGGAGAACTCATATCTCTCGGGGCTCGAGTTCCGAGATTGTGCCCGGCGCCTGCCATGCCCCGTGTGAATATCATGTGGTACACGACCTTCGAACTACATACATCGGGAAAGTTCAGTGGGGGTTCCGCTTCAGGCATGAGGTCTCCGCACCCCGGAGACCTTGCCAGGGACATGTTCTCCTCCGATAAACTTTGCCGAGCGGCAGCAAATCGTGCGCAGCCAAAGACCAAGGACCATGGCCGTCGAGACTCGAAATGTCCACTGACGTCAACGATTTCAGCTGGTCGGCTTCGGGAAGCCGCGGAGGAAGCTGGCAGCGACCGAGAGCGAGGTACGCCGGCATGAACCCATGGGGGCCGTAATTATGGAAGCAACATCGGTCGACTTAGTTGCCAACCAACCGCCGGCCGGCCGGCAGGCCGTCCGCCCGCCCGCTTGGTCCGTTTGCTCCGGCGGCTGCCGGTGGTCGGCCGTGTTTCCGAGCTTTCACCGCAGCCTAAGCTGAAAGTGCTGTTCAAAAAACACTTCTGTATCGGCAGCACTGTAGCATGGCAACAGACGTCGTCGACGCATTACCTCCACCGGTAGAAAATGGGAACAGGCGACAGACAGCTGTATGCGGGCTGCTATTTTCTGAAAGCGATCCACCGCTCTGCATGAAGAGAATCTCTGAAGAGCTCGGGGATTTGTTCGTGGGTAATCACGGAGCTAATCAAAGTCGAGGAGCGCAGTTTCTCCGCACATTTATTTCAAACTCCAAAGCAAATTCATGCTCTCCTTCGTTCGGGATCGTTGAGTTCCTTCGAGTCCGGGCGAAATTGAGAAATTAGAGATTCTTCCAGAGCTCTGCCGAGGACATCGATCAGGGGCCAATTATTGAATTTCTTTATTTTTTCTCGAGTCTTGACGTCACGAAGCTTTCGAGACGGTGTCACGCTTAGCTCGGGGGTTCGGAGGATCCGCATGCGTTCCGCACTCACAAGCTCGTCAATGCCTGCCCATCGATTAGAACGCTAGACTGGCGGTTTCAACACCGAACTTTCGGGTGAGATTCGCTGAAGTGCTTGGAGCCACTTACGAGTTCGACGAAGCTCGGCAGCACCAGCCAATGATGAGGGCGTTGCAGAAACACACGACGTAGTACACGACAATGAAACGAAGAATGCATTCCTTCGGCCGAAAACCTCCGCGGAGTTCCACGTTACTATGAACAGCCGGTCGAGGAATCTCCAGGTGATTAACGCTGTTGTATCAGCGCGCAGATTTCTCGTTAGAGCGACCACTGCATCTCGTGGTGAGCTCTCGAGGTGTTCCCCTGCTCGATTTTTCCGCGGGCTCCCGCTCGCTCCAAGACGTATTTTTCGTCCATACAACGATAGTCCCTTCCTCGATATGTGTGGGTCCTGATCAACCTGCTCCTCGCGACAGGCCAGTCCGGGCCAGGACCGCGGCTCAACACCATGTCGCGATCGCGAGCGAGACGACCGGATTCCTCCGAGCCTCCAGCTGAGACTAATGGAGAAGCTCCGGTTCGGAAGCACAATGGAAGGGACTGGTGTCATTATGTTTGCACGTTCGATAGTCTCGACATATGGCTTTGCATTGTCCACTGCGCTCATAGCAGACTCATCCCACTGTATATCCACCGCATTGTACCACTGCGCGCCCGCACAGCGGCTGTTGAAAGCGAGAAGACTTTGTTGCCGCAAAGTCAACATTGTGGAGTTTTCAAAAGATGTCAGAGAGCTCTCGGGTCTCCTCTGTCACCATCGTCGTGCTCGTTGCTGTCGCTGTGGTAACAGAAGAAATAACAGCAATATGCGACGAGGGTCGAGAGCTCCTCCCAGTCGGTGTCATCTTCTGAGGGTCTGAGAATCCTTTTGATCGGAAATAGTGGACACTCGAACGAGCTCTGAGTCGGATTTCGTGAAACTTTGATCATGGCGCTGACGCATTCGGTCTGAGAGAATGCACAGCCAGTCTCCGAGAGTCGATTATATGAGTCAAACTGTCTCGCGTGTGACACGGGGACGCTCGAACTTATTACGGGCTAGTTTACTGGGGTTTTCCCCCGAGATGCGGCTCGGAATTCGAGCGTTGTAGTCCCGAGAACCGGATCAGTCGCGGAGAAGGAGACGCGGAACGGTCCGGATCTTTCCTCGATCGAACGATGAAACGAGTCGAGCGAACTCCGCATTCGAGAGACCCCGAACTCACTGGGGCCTGGGACCTGACGCGAATGTCTTAGGGAATAACTGATCAATCGAACATTATCGGCCGTCTGGTATGATATCTGATTTTCACTCGAACCACGTCTTGACTGTGCGAATCCGGAGCGTCGTAGACCGACATCGCTGCTGATTTGTATTCTAGGAATATCGGAACGATGAGTGTGACCCGAGTCTGAAACAGGACGGAGGGTGCCGTCCGAAAGTCCAGATGTGTGTTGACATTGCGTGCAGCTCTCAAACAGGGTCACCGTTTCAGCACGTTTGCATCCGAAGCGGCGAACGATCCCGAGCAGAGAACAACTGGGAGGGGCCCAGTCTATAAACGATAGCCGTGCTCCAGCATTGTGCACTGGCCGCTTGTGCTCTGGCTGGTTCTTGCACGGACCACCCTGAATGCGTGCATTCCTCCGCGGGATGGACTCTTGTGACCGAGCTCGAGGCTACGAGACAACGAGCCAACCGCCTGCCTGCAGGTTGAGCAGACTAGCCCACTTAACTTAAGCCGCTTTCCTCCATAGAGATCCGAAATCCGCTGATCGAGTGTGTACTCTAGATGCGTACGTCAAGCCCTCTCGAAGCTTTGTCCCATCCTTGCTCTCTCCAGAGACGTCTTTCTTTACGAGGCGGCATAGCTATGGAGTACTACGTTGCCTTTCAGGACAGAGAGTCTAGAAAATGTCC